TATACACCTGTAAAATGAACATCAAACGTCTTACAATGCTTAAGTTTGTTTCTTTCATTTTTAGGTATTTCTGTTATTGTTATTGCCATATTTTAAGATGAACAAATGCGCTTCTGTTATGATAGTTATCGTACTTGTAGAAAATCTTGTCATGTTTAAGTTTTGCTATATGTTTCAATTTCAGTTGTTGTCATTGCCATATTTGAGATTCCTAAATATTGAATTAACACTACACAATTCCGTTGTGTTCATTTTTTTCATTTATTCATTATTCCAACTATTGATAAGGACCTGTAGTTTAAAGAATATTTTCATCCCTGAATACTTTCCAGTTTATGTTTTTCTGTGCAAATAGATAAAAAAAACAGTCCTGCACTTTTCCCCCAGAAGATATTAGTACACAAGAAAAAAAGGTAGACAATCAACCTACCGAAAAAACAACTGAACAAAAGACTAAACGGTTTGCAGATGATGAGCCATTACATTTGATGATAGCTATTTTTGGCTACGAAGGTTACTTAATAGGTGCTCGTAAATGTTATTTAGAACTCCAGGTTTTATAATTACATGATGCACGCGTAAATTGCATTATTTGACAAACAGTTTGAAGTTGATGAGCATGTAACATTCAATGTCAGCTTTGCTCGCATAAGAAGCTCTAAGACCTAGGAAAAAAGCTGTGTTTTCTGTTTTCCGTCTGACCCTAGCCTTTTCTTGTGTGGACATACATTTTTCGAGCGGATCGACCTTTTCTAGCTCCAATATCTAGCACATTAGTGATGAAACGTTGCATAATTGGTTATCCAACATAGACATTATCCAAACTATAAGTCCTCATGGATGTTTTACTTTGTTAACTGTATACTGCATACGTTAAATCACAAGAGATTGCGAAAGTCTAAAAAAAAGATGATCCCTACCTACCGACCCTAATTTTTTCGGGACTGAAACACAACATTTTCCTAGGCCTAATTCTATCACCTGGCGTAGGTAAGGTGCTTGTAGGAGTTTTATTGAAACTTATAAAAAATTATAATGAGCATCTCAAGTATCGACTGTGCATTGGACAGACATATGGTGGATAATTGGATACTTAAGAAAAACAACTCAGAAGGAGTACCCTTTATATGACAAGTCTTCAGACTCGGAATCTTTTGTCTATGATAAATGAAGTTTTCTTTATAGAAAGTTTGTTGCAAATCCATGCTCGAGTGCTAATTGGTAGAACATGATGAAATAATAAACAGTAAAAACTAGAAAGGCCAATATTTGCTTTGGAGCAAATACAGCGATGGGTTCACCACATTTTACGACATGGCAGGGAAAGAATGAGAAACACAAAGGAAAACAATGATTTACATTGATATAACTATAATATGAAGTAACATACAACTAAAACAACAGTTGGATAGCTATTCCCTACTTTATTGGTTAGGATTTTTAATTGCATAATGCAAACTGTTGATTTTCAAAATAAAAAAAAAACGTTCATGCCCCGCATTCCAATGCTGGAGCAGAAAAGCTTGAAATACCTACCAAAACACTTGAATAAAGACATACTGTCAGTATGAAAAATGCTCTGTGCAGGTGTTATTAACAATCACATAAACTATGAAGCCATACATTGAATAAGCTATACATATAATATGATTATCATAACCTTTATTTTTAAAATCATGCCAGTGAGCTAATTGCATGTACAGAGTGAAAGAAAGTAAAGTAAAGTAAAGCAGTAGAATTTCTGTACTAAGCTATGATAGTACTCCATATGATTCGTCCTCACCGTCATCATTCAATGTGGTCTATCTCTTGCTACTAGTGACTGGTAATACCTCTGTAGATTCTTCACACTGGCAGAGTACCGTACTCCTTCTCTCTTGTCAGCTCAATACTTTTGTGACAACATCAAAGTGATTTTAGTTTGTATGTTGGAAAAATACAAAAGACTAACATTCTAAGTTATTGACATTCTTGAGTAAAGAACAATCAGTTTTTGAATGTTAAAAGCAAAACAACGAAAATAAAAAATGTTGAAATTGTTAAAATGCAGAATTGTTAAAATTGTTAAAACTGATAAAATTGTTAAAACTGATAAAATTGTTAAAAATGTTAAATTGCTAAAAATATTAATATCCGATGCACTGGGGTTCGAACTTGCAATGCCTGGGATTGCCGCCTTGCGCGTTTCCAACCGAGCTAACATGTTCGTGGAGGGCTAATTAATCTCTCGTGAAATACACACCGGGACGCTTATGTGAGGCGGGCGGGCCAGAGCTCTTGCGGCCCCGACCACGAATCAGACTGGATACCAGGCTATAACAGAACCTAGATAATACTAGTTGGTAAAGATTGCGGAAAATTGTTGATACCGTGGCGCGCGCGCCCGCGTAACTTTTTTGTTTACACGCCGGGCGCAGGTCATTGACCTCCAACTTGCGTTGTTCCAACAGAGAAGAGCAAAATGTCTGGCTCCCGCAGAACGTACCGCACTCTCCCGCTGGACGTACCGCACTCTCCCGCAGAACGTATCGCACTCTCCCGGAGGACGTCCCGCACTCTCCCGAGGGAAGTTCCCGCACAGCGTCCGGCACTCTCCCGCAGAACGTCCCTCGAAAATCGATGCGTATTTCGTGGCCTGTGCTGTACCTACCAAAACACTTGAGTTCATACTGTCAAAATGGAATGGCTTTGAACAGGTGTTAATTGAGTTAATCCAATCAAATCCAACAGCCAATCAGCAAGAAGAATAGATTGGTCTGGTTCATGCTTGCATGCCCATATATGGGCATACCGCCGAATTCCTTTCTTATTACGTCACGCGCGTACGTCCCCACAGTACTTTCCTATGGGGACCGCTAAAAAAGCAAATAAAACGATTGTAAAAGCTTGTATCACAAAAATTTAAAAAACGCCTAGGGGTATTTGCCCACTGTACCTCCATACCAAATTTCAGGACCTTAGGCCCTAAAATGAAGAAGCTGAATCCATTTAAAGATATGGCAGGAGGAGGAGAAGGAGGAGGAGAAGAAACATCAGAAAAAGCAATATGGGTTCACCACCACTTCGTGGTGTGGTGAACCCATAATGACAATAAATAATGCTGCTAATGCTCCTTTTGTTATGTTATTGTTGGGTTTGATTTATAAGCTATATATAGAGAGGGTGTGTGCTTTGTGTCTCTGTGTTTATGAACCAAAAATGCCGTTAAAAACAAAGGTAATAAAATTCAAGAAACCACAACAACTGATTGTATACAGTATGCAGTCAAGTAGGGCTATTTATTTACTTGAGTCTCGGCATTTTATGGTCTTTTATGTGTTATATAACTAGCATAAATGTTATAAACATGAAAACATAACCAGGACAGTGTGACGCTGCACTCAAGTAAGTTATATTAACAGCGCCACACAACAAAAATAGTACAATTAACATTTAAATACACAAAGTTGACATGTCTGTGCGCCACCACCACCACCCCAAGACATTAAAAATACTAATGCTAACAAAGTTATTTGAAAAACAAGATTACATGGTAACCTCCTCCACACTGTCCTTGTTTGACCCTCCCAGGTACACGATCTGGCGTTGTCACGGCAGCAGGTTTAATTCATAACTCTTACTTACAGATATGTTATTGTTGGGTTTGATTTATAAGCTAAATATAGAGAGCGTGTGTGCTTTGTGTCTCCCCCCCGCTCTCTCTTCTTTCTTTCTTTCTTTCTTTCTTTTTTTTCTTTCTTTCTTTCTTTCTTTCTTTCTTTCTTTCTTTCTTTCTTTCTTTCTTTCTTTCTTTCTTTCTTTCTCCTTTCTTCCTTCCTTCCTTCCTTTCTTTCTTTCTTTCTTTTTTCTTTCTTTCTCTCTCT